TTAATCACCACATATTTGTGATTTTTCGAGTTTTCTTCACATAATTAATTTCTTGTTTACTATCATTGTGGTCAGAAAAGATGTTTGCTATGATCCAAATCCTCTTAAATTTACTGAGACTTGTTTTGTGGCCTAAAAAAAGGGTCTAGATTGGAAATTGTTCCATGTGCATTTGAGAAGAATGTGTATTCTGTTCCTTTTAGATCAACTATTTTGTAAATATCTACCTAATCTAATGTGCTGTTTAAAGCGAATGTCTCCTTATTGATTTTCTGTCTAAATGATCTATCCATTTATGTAAGTGCAGCATTGAAGTCCTATACTATTAGTGTATTGCTGTCTACTTCTTCCTTTAGGTTTGTTAATATTTGGTTAATATATTTAGGTCCTCCTTTTTGGGTGCATAAATTTTTACAAATGTTGTATCTTATTTGATTGACCTTATCATGATATAATCCCTTTCTTTATCTCTTATTACAGTTTTGGTTTCAATTTATGTGAAATGCTAGCATCACGATTAACAGCATATAAATTCTGGGGAGTTCAGTTGTCAACCATGCTGTCATCTAAATAAAAATATCCTGTTAGTTCAGTGTCCTCCCTTGACAAAGTTACTATAAGTAAGCTGGAGAACACCTCAATTAAAATTTTGGCTGGAAAAGAGCCAATACACTTCAACAGAATAAGATCTGAGACTCGTAAAATCTTTGAAGTGACTTCACAGAGATGCAAATATGTGCACGTGAAGATGCTGAAGCTCCCCCAGTATCTAGCGAAGCTCTCGTCTCTTGATTTGGATTTCTGTCATTCCTACATCCTCTTCTCTTGTGCTAAAAGCATACATTATCTAGTCAGGGGAAACTACACTTAAGATATATAAATTGTCTCAATTACTTAAAGAAAGAAGATGTCACCCAGGATTTCTTTTTCCAAGTGTGTCATTTTTCTTATTTTAAAAATGATATCATGTAGCATGGGCTTATTAAGGAGAATTTCAAAAACACAGGAGGAAGATATAAAAATATGTGTCACATGAATTATATTACCTGATGAGAACCACAGCTAATACTAATTCATTATTTGCTAATATTTCTTCATATGTTTCTTCATGTCTTTTTTCCTTAGATAGCTATTATTCTTTCATAGATCAGAATATATTCTGGTTAGACAGATTGGTATAATATATATGCTGTATCAGTTTTCACTTTCTCAATGGAAACGTAATTTCAATAAATCCATGGTATTTTTAAACTTCAGTTATCTTTAGGAAATGCTGTATATACTAATGATGCATAAAATTCCATATTGCCTAACTTGTACTATTGAGACTACTCTGTGTACCTCTGGCCTTACATTTTTTATCTGAAAAGTAGGGGCTGGAACAATTGATCTCCAAAGCTGTTCCCAGTGCTAACATTCTAATTTTGTTTTGTTTGCCTTTTTGTACACTTAAGTGTGAGATGTTAAGTTAAAGTCTATGATGTTTAAATGTACTTTTCTATCTCCACCATTACAGTGAGAAAGCAATGAAAGATTTTATCTTTATAAACCTACTTGTGGAATGTGCTTTGTAATATATTTAATTTTTAAAACCTCCAGAAGACAAGAGGAAACAAAATGAATACCTTTCCCATCTGAGAGGTGCCCTCCTTTCTGTACTTGACTGAGTTTAGAACCCCTGTGTTGTATGTGGCATGCCACAGTAATGCCCTTGAAGTAATCGCTAAGTAAGAAGATCAACTGTCTGGCAGTTGTAAGTAAAGGTGGCAGAGCTCCCAGGGCCAACATCAAAACAATGGCTTAACTATCCTCTGCTTGGCCATTCTCTTTCAGAGTTTCACAAATACCTAACCTGTAAGCCACCATGACAGGGAAAGTCTCTTCAGAGAGCATTCACAGGTCCCTTCGGGCTGCTACCCCTGCCTCTGAAAAGCAAAATGTAAATATACCAATTTAGGCACCAAAATACCATCTAACACTGTTTTATTAAACAAAGTTGGCTTCTGTTCAATGACACCCCCAGACACCTACCTCTACCCTGCCACCATTCCTAAAGCTACAAGAGAGTGACCACATAGCTCCAAACCTGGTCTACAAACAAGCATATTCTCCTTTCTCTCCTCATTGTCTCTTGGCAGTTGACAAAATCTTTAGAGGAGTTGGAGGAACCACTGGTGTTTAAGCCCCTACTTCACTCAAAGCCTGAACTCTTGAGTTCTAGTCCTCTCAGGACATTAGGAAGTTCACAGTCTTTGAACTCAGTCACTAAAATGACCTCAAGCTTAGCAAGTAGACAGTAGCTTCACTTCACAGGTCAGCTTGCCATGCCTGATTTAGAAGAGTTTTCTGTGCAGACAGTTGTAGTTTGTTTCTTTCAAAGACAAACCCTACTTTGTTTAGTTAATCAAATTATTAAAATCAAAATCTCTCAGAACTTCCCCAGCATTTGTAAATCCATGCTGGGGGAAGATTGGCAGAGACATGTTAAATGCACTTGAAAGCTACACCCATTTATTTCATTTAGTATTTAATGGGTATTTATTATGCACCTAGTAAAGGCGTAGAACTATCCCAGCACGGGAGATACAGCAAGAAGACTCCATCCCTGGCTTGGATCTTGACCAGAAAAACAAGGAACAAAGCTCAGAACTTTTCAGATGGAGACTCAGTTGGGCTAAATGAACATAAGTTAAAGAAATTTAGTGATAGTCTTCAATTCTATTTAGGATGGTTTGATGAACCCCAGGTATAGAAATTTCACTGATTGAAAGAAAGTTTCATAAAACCCAACCTATGAATCTAATGGAGCACCTGTCACTAGGAAACCAAAAACTAATCATATTTCTTTCCCTATATTTAAATATTGCCATGGGAAAAATAAACTTACTTTCAAGTCTAAAAATAGATGTGAAACTTTTTTCCAGCTTTATTGAGGTATAACTTACACATAATATTGCATACAAATGGCTGCAGAGAACAATAAATAGATTCTTTCTTTTCATAGATAATCGCCAACATTGAGCCGCAGAACATTTCTATCACTCTTCACAACCCTAAGAATGAACAGAAATGACAATTCCCCCTCATTATATTTTCCTTTACTGTCTCCTTAATTACATCTCTTTTAACTGTGTTATCATGGAGTGTTCGGATTTAACAATCCAAGACACTGAGGTGTTTTTATTTTACAGATCACACTTGTACATTGTGTTTTATATGCTTTGCTTTACTAAGAATTCAAAATTTTTTCTTGATCTGGGATGAAGAGGAAATTCTACGGTTTGTTGAACCCAGAATATCTTTGGCACATCTCAAATATAAAATTATTTCAATATATATAAAATTTTGTAATTCCAGGTGATGTATTTGAGGTCTATAAGGAGAATTTCCATTTCCCCACCATCCTCTCATACCTTAATTCTGTGTGATACAGGGGTCTTTCCCCACCATTCTATGAATAAAGTAGTAGTTGAAATACAGGTTGAATGCAAATAACTTTTTTCTACCTGATTCCAAGTATAACATAGGATCAATACAGAAAACTATTAAGAAAGAAATGTCCATAATCCTGTCAAGCATTGGTTAACTGGAGCGTATTTCCAACTGATTTGTTTTATCTGTATCATTTATTACTTTTGTTTTAATAAAAGAAATGGTAAAATGTATATAGTGATTTGGAGTCTGCTTTTTCCACTTAGATATATCATAGTTTCTTACATTGATTTTTTTACACTGCTTGCTGCACTGAATTTCATAAATTCCATAATTTACCTACCATAAGCTCTTACTACTTCTACTACTAGACACATAAGACTTAAATTTCTTCCAAAACTGTACATCTTTGCTCACAGCTTTGATGATTTCTTTATGATAAACTCTAAGTGGTACTGGTGGTTCAAAAGTCATGCCATTTCAAAACTTTTAACCTACAAAAAAGTTACACTAAAAACTAAAAGTATGAGTTTGTTGGTCTTCCAATATGTTTACTCATACTGTTTGGCTTTTTTATTCTTTGGCAACTAATAGGAAGAAAATGTCAACTCTTTTTGTTTGCTCTTTAATACCAGCCCTGTTACTTTTCACTTACTAGTCATACAGATTTACTTACACTTCCACAAATAAATCTTGCTTACTGTTATTTCTCCAGCATTGTTTGAGAGAATGTTTCAACAGAAAAGTTCTCCCCTTTATCCATTTCATCTAACCAATTCCTTACCATCACAACTCTAATGACATTCATTATTTCCAAGAATTTGTAATACACCCGTCCTTACTTGTCTCATGCATGTATATTTCATCTTCAATAAAGTATTTAGTTGCTCAAAAGCAAGGGCCCCATAGAGTTGAGACCCAATATGATAATGACCTGGTGTTGTTTAATAGTTCACTTTCCCAGGGTGCTCTCCTAGGAGTACAGGGGAGACACATTAGCGGCTGGGAGAGCAATGGCCAAACCTCTCATGATCTTGAAATCTATCAGGCCATGAGAGACTTCTGGAGCAGATACTCAACCACGGAAATCTCAACTATTTTCCCGAATTACGCCTGACTAATGCCAAATACTGAGCAGGTGCCCAGGACCAGTGTGGAGTCTTGAGGGGTGTCTGCCCCATGGTGACCCGCTGTCTAGGCCGCAGGTTTCTATTCTCAGGTCGATGCACTTTCTTCTTTAAACCGGCGTTTCGGAAAAGGGACAATGATGACCGTGCCAACCCTAGATTTCTTTCCACCCTTCCTACCTCGGAGGGGGTTAACAGTCTGTTTACAAAGCGGCAGTGAACCCGCCATTAACCTCAAGGTAGGTCTGCAGAGGGAGGAACCAGAGTCAGTCAGGCCTCAAGAAGGAGGCTCAAAGCTGACCTGGCCCAGGGAGGGTTAAACTCCAGCCTGGGCCCGCGCCCCCTCCCCTGGCCTGACAGCCTCCCCGGCGCCGAGGCCCCGCCTTACAGCCCGCCCATTGGCCCCGCCAGACCCTCACTTCCACCCCGGGAGTGGCCCAGGCCACGCCCACCTGCATCAGCGCTAGACACTGAATCCGGGGATTATTGCGTCTGTTAACTGATCTTTAAAAGATCTCCGCTGGGCTGGTCCCCCCTGATCTTCTCGAAAATGGCAGCGTCTTACACATCGCTCGTGGCACCTTCTGGCCGCCCTGAGAGTCCCCTTTTGGCTTGGTGCTTCTTTGGGATTCTTTTGACGGCCCTAGTGCTCCTGCTACCCATATTCTCCGGTATGTGCCTGGAGAGCCTGTGCGCACCAGAGGCAAAGTGGAGCGGGTCAGGGGGCAAGCTTACCAGAGGCGAGGGAAGGGGGAGCTTTGCTTGGTGGCTTGGGTAGGACTGTCGGGGCTGGGTCCACCCGGGGTCTTAAAGAGTTGGGGTAGAAGGCGTGGCCAGAGTGTCCCCGGGTCTGTTGTGCGGGGACCCACGGGAATGGGGACCATCTAATGTCCAAGGAGAAAATTTGCTTGGTGATGGGCACTGAGCAGTGCGGGGTGTTAGGCACCGCCAGGGTTTACTGGGGCCAAGTGGAGTCCCAAGCAAAAGCTTGTAGGGGGTTTCCAGGACTGAGCCAATTCTGGACAGGAACACAGATCTGGTGCTGGTAGTGACTGCTTGCTTTTGAGTACCCAGGTGCTTGGGATATTGTTAGTCTGGTGCTGTGTTGTGGGGAGGGTTTGCCCTGTGTTCTCTGGGAGGGGTGATGCCTTGTGAGTGGAGTGTTTGTGCCCTGCTGAAATTGTCTGGAGGAGACCCTGCAGGATGGCGTCTGGTGTGTTCTTTGTAGAATTGTCCAGCACAGTGGTGCTGGTTGTGGGGCATGAAAGCTTGTGCTTGCTTTGTGTGGGGCTGGGACACTCATGTTTTGCATTTAGCGCTCAGGTGAGAGCAGGCTCTGGGTGGGACTCCAGCTACAACCCCACCCTTCCAGTCCCCCTGCAGTGATGGAGGTGTGACTTAGGATGCCAGATGTGGCAGAAGAACACACCATACCTGTGATCTATGTGGTGATGCCAGTGACACTAGCGGCTGCAAGGCACCAATGATCACAGAGGCATAAGGAGTGATAAGGTTAACACCTTGGACAGAGGCAATAGAGGATGAAAAGTGCCCACTTGCAAATATTACCAGAGGCAGCTCAAGTAATAGAATTCAAAAGCTTGTGCTATAATGCCGCCAACTGGAGAACAAAAGAAAGGCCTCTAATTTCTAACCTGTTGAATCATTAGAATCAAATAGGTGTTCACTACATCAGAGGCACTGACAGAGGAACCATGAAGCATCATCAAGAACTATGAAGAACCACAGTAACACTGTACCAAGAATAAAATGACAACTCCTAGAAACTAAACTTAAAGTCAGGAATTGTGATCTAACTGATAGAGAATTCATTAGCTGTCATGAAGAAACTAACCATAAGAAAACTTTGAAAAGCAGTTCAATGAACTCAGGAATAAAATTAACAAACAGAATTAATACTATACCACAAGGATTAAAATGCTAAAAATAAAAAAAGACCCAAATGGAATTCCTGGAGGTGAAGAATTCAACAAATGAGATGAAGAATGTGTTAGAAAGCATTGGAAATACAGGAAACCATAAGGAATAGAAAATTAGTGAGTTCAAAGATAGAAACCTAAAAACTATACAAGTAAGAGACGAAAGAGAAATAAAATATTTTTTTTAAATGAGAAGATTCTCCAAAAGCTATCCAACTTTTTAAGGTACGGCAACCTTAAGGTAATGGATATCCCAGAAGAGAGGGAGAAGAGGGCAGAGAGTTTACTTAAAGAAATAATAAATAAGAACTTCCTCAACTTGGGAAGGAACTGGATATAGAATTTCATGAAGCTAAGAAGGCATCTAATAACCTCAGTACCTCAATGGAAAAAGACCTTCTCCAAGACACACATTAAAATTGTCCAAAGTCAATGACGAAGAATATTTAAAGCAGCCAGGGGGGAAAAAAAGGATGGTAACCTACAAAGAAACTCTCATTAGACCATCAGCAGATTTTTCAGCAGAAAACCAGTAAGGAACAGAATGACATTCTCAAGAAAATGGAGAGATAAAATTGTCACCCAAGAATACTCTACCCAGCAAAGATATCATTTAGATATGAAGGCAAAATACTTTCCTAGACAAACAAAAGTTGAGGGAGTTCCACACCAGACCTTTCTTACAAGAAATGTTGAAAGGAGCTCTCCGAACGGAAATAAAATACTTAAAATAATTGTTGGCACAGGTAGTGACTGACTTTTCTCTTTCTAAGGTGATTAATACCATCACTATTGTTTTAAGAAACAAGTTCTGGACTCTTTCATTGCCATGTCTAAGGAAAAAAATATAGCCCACAATATTTGGAGTTCACCTTTGATAATGTTAAAATACCATTTCTAATTACAGCAGTAATGGAGAATAGGTTCATAATAAAGTAATAAAACATAAATATTTTAACATGAAAGAGATGAAAGCTCTGATAAAGGGAAATGTCTGTAACTAAACCAAGGAAAAACATTTGAAGAAAGGCACAAACCAGCAGTGAAAAAAATGATGATTTGAAGATATTTCTGAAACAGTTTGGCTGGACAGTAATGAATTTGAATTTTGCTCCAAGAGTGTATAGAACTGATAATAGTGCTCTTTCAGCTCTGGCACAAGACACTAGAAATGCAGTGATGAATGAGACATGGTCCTAAGAAGGTTACAGACTTGTAGGGAGTATAAACAATAAATAATTACAATTTGAAAAGGGCATAAAAGAAGTAAATTGGGACATCATGGGGACACAACCAATTTTTTTGAGTGAGAGCTGTCAAGAGCCTCAAGGAAGAAGTGGCATCTGAGATGAAACTGAAGGATGAGTGGGTGGGAGGAACAGCAGGGTCTGTGGTCAAAGCTGAAGTGACATGGTGCATGGAGGTCGAGCGTGCTGCAGTAAGTTAAGTAATTTAACGGGCACTACACGAAACTGAATATTGTGTACAAGAGTGAGCAGGGTCCTGATAATGATAGATTTTAAAACTCTCATTAGCCATGTCAAGAAACCTTAGACATTATAATGAGAGCATCAGAGAGCCATTGAAAGGTATCTGGAGGACGGAATGGCCAGGATGACATAATACTAAGACTCTGAGCTCACCTCCTCCCAGGGGTACATCAAAATTACAACTATTTACAAAGCGACTACTGATGAGAAAAACCTGAAGACTAATAGAAAAGATCTTCTACAACTAGAGGTGTAAAAAAGGGACCAAAACAAGATGGATAGGTGGGGCAGAGATGTTGTTTAGTCAAGATATCTACCTCTGGATAGGCGACCCATAAATGGACGTTGTCATTACAATTGTCATAATTACAGTTGCAGAAGCTCTCCCCAAGGAGTGAGGCGTCAGTGCTTCACATCAGGCTCCCCAGCACAGAGCAATCGAATACATAGACTCCACACCCTGACATGAGATCAAGGGTGGAGAATGGGATTTGAGAAGCAGCTCTTTTCGGTGGTGATGACATCATGAGAGTATACATTCTCACCTGGAGGAGGAGGGTGCAGAATGCAATCAAGAGAGTTCCTCAAACAACCCATGAGGAACATCACAGTATCCAATCGAGGAGAGAAGGGAGAGTAGACAGAAGACAGGATGAAAACGAGGTGGTGGTTTGCTACCTGGAAACTAAGGAGAGAGACAGCTTTTCAGGCAGGAGAGAGTGATCAATAGCTCCAGGTGTTAAGAGTCAGGGTAACTAAAATTACTGAGGGAGAAAGTGTTAGAATGAATTTACCAAAAAGGAAGCTACTTAATGACTTTGAAAGTAATTTAAGTGGCCTATAAATGAGTGGGAATTGAGAAATAAAATTGATAGGCTAGATGCAAGAGTTCGTGTTTTGAGAAAGCAAAGAAAGTTTTAAAATGGGTTATGCAGACTGTGGAGAAGCAGCAGAATGGTCAGGTTTTGCTGAGGTTCCATTTTGGGTCAGAGACCATGATTCTCTGAAGGTACCAGCTGGGCAGGGGTGTGGGTGTGTGTTTGTGTCAGAGTTATTTTTAGTATTTGCATGCAAGTAGTGTGCTTGCACAATTTTTGCAGACGTATAGAAAACAAACAGTCCTTTTGATTCATAGCAGAGCACTATTTCACCTTCCTCAATCTCACCTGTAACATTGGGGAATTTCCTGAATGCAGCCGATCATATTATGTAACAGCATCTATTGTTAAAGTAGAGCATTGCAGCTTAATAATAATGTGTAAAGTGTCTTAAAAATAAAAACTCAGTGAGGAGACTATTTTTCTGGAATTAGGAATGTTTAGTTTGAAAGTCTCCACAGGAAGACAATTCAATGTTCTGAGAAAGAGAAGAAATTTGATTATAAAAAATGTGTGATATGAGACGCAATTATTACAGTGTATAAAGCACATAATCAACTGGTTGCCAAAGCAAACATTCTAAACTGCACATTGTTGAAAGCATGTCTTTCATGATGCATGTTACTGGGAAGAAATATTTCCAGTTATTTGAATGGGTTAAACCATCCAACTGACATTTCTTTCTCCATACAGAGCACTATATATGAGAGTCATATTAGAAATTCTTTCTTTATTATATGCTTTCAAGATAGTTACTGAAACTGAATGCATAAAACAAAGGACATTTGTATAATTTAATTATGAGCATGCTGTTAATTTGATTTCTTTCTTGATGCTTCCAGGAAATTCTAGAACGATGTTATATATTTATATCTAGAACGGAATTATGTAGTATTTCTAGCCCATGTTTTTTCCAATTGTAAAATGAGGATGTCTGATTCAGGGTATTCAGTAAATGTAATGTTATTAATAAAATTCAACTCTATGCTAATCTTCTCTTTAAACAATGTTTTTAATAACTATACCTTTTTGTTTGTTTTCTTTGGGGACAGTTGATTGAGGAATATTCATGTATCAAGCTCAGCACAGTGGAAATGTTGAAAACACTTGCTAACTGTTGAAACAATTTCAGGACCTGATGCAATGAAATGTACAGTGTTTGGAGAGAGAAGTTCAAAACTTAGAATATGATAGGAAAGGAGGGTAACATGTCACTTGTTTTAGAGTTCTCTCTTGATTGATCTTTAAGTCTAAAGACAGAGATCCAGGGAGTAAGAAAGAAAGTGTTCCTCAGGCATCAAAACAGGTCTACGTCCTTTCTCCTTAGGTCCTTAGCCTTACGGGAGAGTCCCTCTGCATTCTTTAAGCCCTTTAGGGACTTGATGTGTCTCCATCATATTATTTAACCTAATTCTCTAGCAGTTTTATAAGGTTTTCAAGTGGACAGATAATTAAAGGGAAGAGGACTTGCTGAAGTAGGAATGAAATTATTCTAGGGGTGAACCCCCCAAAAAAAGACCAGAAGTTTAAAATTCTAAAAGCATAGCAATATAGCAGCCTTACTGTTAAGATATATTGGATGAACAGCCCAAACAGCTACTTCAGGGAGCTTCTAAGAGAATACATGATCCATTAATCAGTGAAGGAAGATTAAATTATGTTTACAGTAATGTTCAAGAAAGCAATTTTTTTCATGCAAGGCTATTCAAAGTAGTAAAATTTTATGTTTAAAGAGTGTCCATTTATTTATAAAATGTTCAATTTACTAATGTGAAACAAATGAAAGGAAATTATATTTTTAAAATACTTTGGCCCATATTGATTTTGATCTATGAAATCCACAATGCTCATTTGACATTTACCTCTTACCACAGCATTTCTTGAGTATCAACTGACTACAGAACGTAGTAGAAAAAGAAAACATACGATCCCTGACCTCTAAGACGTTGTATTCCTAGAGGAAACTGAGCCTGAAGTGATAAGTGATCATATGCTTTTGTTTAAAATTATGGAATAGTAATTCGAACAGAGTGCTGTATACTATAAGAAAATAATGCAGTTTTGAGATGAATTTAGAAAGAAGTGGAAAGGATGCATACCTGTAGCTATGTATATTTGAAAAACAAAAGCACTGATGCCTCTCTTCAATTTACTGTTGAATGAAAGTTCACCTTGTTCCCCAACAAACCAAAAGCTAATAGGTTGTTCTTTAAAGTAAGCAAGGCACATACTCCACTGCTGCCACCACTTGGGTAAAAGCATGGGACCCAAAAGAATTTAAAATCTTGCCAAGTGCCTTTCTATGTATTCCACACTACCTAACTGATGCCAGGGCCGCAGTCCCTGACTGGTGAATGAGATGAAGTACTTCATTTTCATGTTCTTACTCTCTTATACCTAGATGCCTGTGATAGTCCACCAAGATTTCAAACTATGAAGCTCCAAGGTGCAGCTAAACCCAGCTACAGTTCTGGAGAAACTGTAAAATATGAGTGTCGCCCAGGTTACAAGCCCATTTTTCCTCCTCTTCCCACCTCTACAGTTTGTCAGGATGATAATACATGGGCACAACTAATGGAGGCTTGTACACGTAAGTAAACAAAAATTTTTTGTATTGCTCTGGAGAATTCCACACATCTTAGCATGCGTATTCTACTACTGCAGTAATGCTTTTCTCGTGTGAATGTAGGTTTTAGATGGCAATGCAATTGTTTAGGCTAAAAAATCCCCAAGGAATCTTCTTTGCAATTGGTTGCCTGGGTAAGTGTGAATCATGTTTGGCCATATAGTAAAGAAGGAAAATCATATTTAAGTAAATAATAAGATTCCCATGAATTCAAGCAAGCAATGTAGAATTCTGAATTTGACTCAAATCTATTTTGAAATTGGTATAAAACAACAAATTTGAATATTTTCTTTTAGGAAAATTATGTCCTAATCTAGGAGATCCTGTTAATGGCCAAGTTATCTACGTAAATGAAAGCTTTGCATTTGGTACACAAGCTCATTTTGTTTGTAATGAGGGGTAAGTAAGATGCTCCTTAGAGGAAATAAGGTTGAATGTGACTAATTCCATTTTTGTATTGCTATTCTTCTTAAGCATTTCCTGTAAAGTTGATTTCATTTTGCTTTCTATGTGATGTCACACTTGTAGCCAAACAACTCTTGCTAATTTATGAAGACTGAAAAGGTGGGTAATTAGAAAGAAATTTAAATTGAAGGAAAGCAAAACTGTATAATACTTACCATATGTAATAATAAGCCTATTTTAAGCATTAAAATGTAGTAATTATGGTAACTTTATTCTTGGCAATAAAGTGTACCCTGTATAAATGGCCAATTCTCAGAGTTGAAGTGGGGCTTATGGAAATGGGAGGTAGAATTGCCAACCAAAGATATTCTTATATTGAGATAATCTGTAAAGTTTTACCAGATCTAAATTGACCTGCTTAGCCCAGACCATAATGTTGATGATAATCTCTTAGTTGGAAAACCTTATTTTTTCAGACTGCTACAAAGGAATGAAGCATCTCAGAAAGAAGTACTGAGTATTTAATAATAGCTTTTGTTCTACAAAGTTTCTTTAATAATACATATTGGGGATCCTGGGCATATATTTTAAATATTAATTTAGAGGGTAAATGTAATACAGTGTGGAAATGAAACAGGTTTTTAAATATTTGCTTTAATCATACTTTGTTGAATTCATTTAATAGTTCTAATATTTTTGTGTATGTGAGGAATCTTCCAAGTTTTATAAATATAAAATTATATCATCTGCAAAAGGTGATAATTTTAATTCTTCCCTTTCAAGTTGGATGCTTTTTATTTCTTTTTCTTGTTTAATTGCTCTAGCCAGAACTTCCAGTACCATATTGAATAGAAGTGGTAAAAGTGGCCATCCTTGCCTTTTCTCATCTTGGAGAAAAAGTTTTTAGCTTTTCCCCATTAAGTGTGGTATTTGCTATGTGTTCCATGTATTGCATTTATTATTTTGAGACAGTTTCCATCTTCTCCTAGTTTGCTGGATATTTTTATCATGAAATATGTTGAATTTTGTCAAATGCTCTTTCTGCATCAATTGAGATGATCATGTTGGGTTTTTGTTTCTCTTCATGCTGTTGATGTGGCATATTAATTACAATGATTGACTTTCATATGTTAAGCCATCTTGGCACTCCAGAAATAATTCTCAATTGGTCACAGTTTTTAATCGTTTTTATACATTGATGAACTGCTTGCCAGCATTATGTTGAGGATTTTTGTATCAGTGTTTATAAGTGATGTTATTTTGTAGCTTGCTTTCTTGTAGTATCTTTATCTGGTTTTGGTATCATGGTAATACTGGTCTCAGAATAGGTTTGGAAGACTTTAATTCCCTCTGCTAGTTTTGAGTTTAGTTTATCTTTCTCTGGTTCCTTAAGTTGTAAAGTTAGGTTGTTTATTTTCTTCCATTTTATTGAAGTACAGTCGATTTACAGTGTTGTGTTAATTTCTGGTGTATAGCATAGTGTTTCATTTATACATATATATGTACATATATACACATATATATTTCTTTTCATAATCTTTTTCATTATAGGCCATTACAAGGTATTGAATATAGTTCCCTGAGCTATACTGTAGGACTTCCTTGCTTATTTATTTTATATATAGTAGTTATGTTGTTTATTTTATGTCTTCTTACTTTCAATTGAAGAATAATTTACCTACAAATTATGTTAGTTCCAGGTGCATCACATAGGATTTTGATATTTTTATACATTTCAAAACGATCACAATAAGTCTAGTTACCATCTGTCATCATACAAAGTTACTACAATTTATTGACTATTTCTCCCATACTGTACATTTCATCTTTGTGACTTATTTCTTTTGTAACTAGGAGTTTGTGCCTCTTAATTCCCCTCACCCTCTTCACTCCTCCCTCCACCCCTTCCCTCTGCCAACCACCCTTTTGTTCTCTGTAACAGGAGTCTGTTTCCATTTCTTTGTATTTCTTCATTTGTTTTGTGTTTAAATTGAGCATGTAGGTGAAATAATACAGTATTTGTATTTTTCTGTCAGACTTATCTCACTTAGCATAATATTCTTTTGAGCCCATCCATGTTGTTGCAAATGGCAAGATTTCCCTGTTTTATGACTGCTAGATTCCAGTGTGTGTGTGTATCACATCTTCTTAATCCAGTCATTCTGTTGAAGGGCACATAGTTTGCTACCATATATATTTTGGCTGTTTTAAAGAATGTTGAAATGAACGTACGGGTGCATATACTTTTTTGAATTAATGGTTTTCGAATGAATGGTTTTCTTATCTTCAGAAAGATACCCAGAAGTGAAATTGATGGATCATATGGAGGCTCTATTTTTATCTTTTTCAGGAGCCTCCATAGTGTTTTCCAAAATGGCTGTATCAACTTACGTGATTTTTCTTTTTCCCCACATCTTGACCAACACTTGTTATTTGTTGTCTTTTTGATCACAGTCATTCTGATAAGTGTGAGATGATTGATCATTGTGGTTTTGTTTTGCATTTCCCTGATGACCAGATGTTGATCATCTTTTCATATGCCTGGTGGCCATCTGTGGGTCTTCTCTGGAAAAATGTCTATTCAAGTGCTCTGCCCATTTTTTTTAACATTTTTTATTGATTTATAATCATTTTACAATGTTGTGTCAAATTCCAGTGTTCAGCACAATTTTTCAGTCATTCATAGACATATACACATTCATTGTCACATTTTTTTCTCTGTGATTTATCATAACATTTTGTGTATATTTCCCTGTGCTATACAGTGTAATCTTGTTTATCTATTCTACAATTTTGAAATCCCAGTCTATCCCTTCCCATCCTCCACCCCCCTGGT